TTTGAGGTGTGTATGCAGAGTGGAGAAACCAGAAAACCATTTGATTTGCTGTAATACACTAGTACGGGCGTAGTCCTTTGATTTGGGAGTCTCAGTATATTAAATTTCCCTTTCATAACAGACTCTGGAAAATTTATAAAATTGCACATTTCTCTCAGAAGCAAACACTTAAGAAGTTTAAAAAAATATATGTAGAGATCTACAGTACTAAGATCAATATGGAAACAGTAAGGATCTTATTGCCTGTTAGGTGACAGTAGGGGTGTCCCTTAATTCAAATATGCAATTTATCCATATGGGAATACAGAATAAATTCATGGCAAAACAAAACTGCAGGTTGGAGAGGAATGTATGTAAAATGTATGTAAAACATGTAAAATTGGTCTTTGGAAAAAGAGTCCAGATTTCCAGAACTAAAGGCTGACTTGGGTTGACCATTTTACTTTTCTGTATCTTCAGTACAAAAGACTTCCCATTTGTTAAGGCTGTTCTTCTGTAATACAACTGCAGTTAACAAAGGGAAACATTCAGCTGGATGTAAGGCATACTTTTCACAACCTCATAGATGAGTGAGGATGCTCCTGCCTATAGATGAGGATGATCCCATAAGAAGGAATTATAATACTGAATTAACTAAATAATATAGATACTGAATACATCAGAGGAAGGTTCGAGTACCTCATTTAAAATAAAGCCACAGTTCAAATGCCTTACATCTAAAAAAATGAAACAGAAAGCTGTCCTAAGCTCAAGGACAAAAGAGAAGTTAAATATGTCTCAAAATCAGATTTGTCAGCATCTGCAACTGAGCTTTTTTCCAAAACATTTACTCCATTCCAATATATAACATAAAAAGATCCCTGAGAGAAAACGAAACAAAACAAAACCCAATAACTCTTAAATCCATGAAAGTGATTGGCCTCTAAAACACAAGCTAAAAGAAAACAAAGCCTTGAACTCAGGCATGGTCAAAGGATCAGATCAAGAGCTCCTCAGAGAACTGTGCTGTCTTCAGACTCTCGTGAGAGACAACCCAACCATCCTGGCTGTTGGGCCCCAAGTGCACTGGGGGGCTCAGCAGCCCCTTCCCCAGCCCAGGCCTTTGGCTGTCTGTGCCCACAGCCAGCACAGAACACAGCACAGCCTGAGCAGCTCCAGCAGGGCCAGGCAAGGAGCTGTGGGAGAAGCCTCCATTCTTGGTCCTTGGCAAAGGCACCCTGCAGGGATGCCTGTGGACTTTGATGACCACAACCCTCTGACCGGACTTCCCAGCCTGGCCTCAGATCTGCCTAATCCCTGTGGACTTGCCTGGCTATCACTGGACTCTAGGCTGACCCTGGTCACTGTCACCAGGAGTGCTCTGTTGTCCTTGCTCAGGTAATGTGGGACTGCAGTGCTCCTCAGTGCTCGACAGCTTCTGCCCTCTTGGCACCCTCGCTTGGCTGCAGACTCACCTGCCTGCTGGAGTCATCAGCACTTACTGCTTCCCTCACTCTGGCTTACTTCAAATTTTTCTGGAAAAGTAAACAAGACCCTGCACATCAGGATCTTAAACTAAACCTGAAAACAAAGTTAACTTCTATCAGTATTTTTTAGGGAGGACATACAGAACAGTTCTAAGTGATTTCAGTTATTTATCGAACTTTTTTATGATGAGGGTGACGAGACACTGGAACGGGCTGCCCAGAAAAGTCGTGTTCAAAGTCAGGCTGCACAGGGCCTCGAACAACATGGAGGCAGGTTGGTCTAGATGATCTTTAAAGGTCCTTTCCAACCCAAACCATTCTGTGATTCTATGATCTTTCCATTGCTACAAGCAAAAACCACTCACCACCCACCCCAGTGGAACCATCAGCACCATGGGGATGTTTGCAGAGTTTCTGACCGTCTTGCCAAACACACATGGGAAGCAGCATTGCTGTCTCAGTTTTTCAGTTCCTGAACTTAGACTACAATTTGGACTACCAGTCCTGTGGATCTTTGAGATCGATGGGAGATTTTTAGCATGTGCCAAACCCAAAAGCTAGCATTAATCACATATTTTTCTCTGTGGCTAGCAACAGTAGGAATGAATGGTAGGTTGAAATTTATTTTATATTACAAAAGCCACAAAACTTGAGAAATTCCTTAAGAAATACTACTCCCCAAGATGCCCAAGCTAACTGAAAACTTACTTGTTTTCTTAATTCTGGCATTCAGAATGTTAACATAAAAACAATTTGTGATGATCAGGAAAACCTCTGAAATATTTTTTCATATATCTCAACTTGATCAAAAACAACTGCATGTGTTTTGCCTATTTCATGAGCCTCTTTCCCCTTTCAGAATAATAGTTCTGCTTGTTACAGAACAAGCACCACTTTTACAGCTTCATGAAGAGATGAGATGACCAATAACCAGAAAATAAGTGAATTGGCAGTTAGACATAAAAATGCTTTTAATCCCTGGTAGAAAATTATATTTTACATTTATTTTGTAGAGAGAGAATTATGAATTATTTTTCTTGACTCCCCCACATGTAATATTTGTCCCAAAAGCTAAAATAGAGAATTTCTTTCAGCTACTAAACTGTAAAGTTGGTTTTGTTGCTTACGCTGGTTTTATGGCTCATCTTTCTAGTCAGGTATTGAATTTCCAATTGCATTGATACTTTACAAGCAAAGGCAGATTTAAAATATAGCACTATATAACAAGACATGGAGAAGTTATGATAAAAAAGAGAAAAAACTGCAGATCTTCAGGATTTGACAGGGCAATGGCTCTGGTGGATCTTTCTCAGTAAAGCATTGAACTTGCTTCCTTCTTTTTCAAATATCAAATTATGCAGAAAGATTTAAATAATTCAATATTCTTAGATAAATCACACAATCATCTACATTTAATCTTGATGATCACTAGTCTCACTACATTCATTACGGAATAGACTTCATTCATGCTTGAATGAAAAAGGCATTTTATTCTTTCTTGATCAGTCCCACTTAAACTTGCAGTAAGACTCCTGGATGCCCTTATCAGTAGTGCATGATGTGAAGAATCTTGCAAGGGATTTGTCATGGACAAGCTCTCCTGACCACAACAGTGGGAATCAGGAGCAGGTGTCCCCTCAGGATATATTTTTCCTCTTCTTCCTCCAGGAAGAAGGCAAAGCACTTCCTCCCATGTCCACAGAATATCAGCGAACTAGGCTTTTTGTTCTTACATGTTCAGAAAGTTCATATAACTTCTTATACGTAATGAAAGACTGGGTTTAGGAACTGATTTAAAATGTAAGACATAAAATTCTCGCTCCCTTCAAGAGTGCTCACTGCCTACAGTAGTGTTCACAGTATTGGTCCTATAAATATCCTGCTGAGATGTGTTAAAGATATTTAGTGTTAGTATTCTAGAATATTTGACACCAAAGTTTGAAAAGGCTTCAGAACATTCCCTCTGAGTAATAAAGTAGTAACTAACAGAATAGCTAAGTGATGTGGTTTGGGGTTTTTTTTCCCACTGACACCATTCCTAGACAAAAACACCCCTTCGAAATAAGTATCTGCTTAAGTGCTGACCCATGATTCTGCAGCGACATCCATCCTGCAAGACAGTGATATGTTCCACTGATAAGGTTGATGGCAGCTCTTTTGCCCAGTAAAAGTTGGTTAGGATGAAACTTAAGAGTCCATTTGATTGCAGGTTGCTAAATTAACTTCTGTCTGAAGTTAAAAATAATAATAAATAGAAAAAAATAAGAGAAGACTCAAGCAAAATTGATCATTCTTAAGTTTATATGAAACAGATTAATTTAATGTGAATTTTGTGAACAAAGTTTAAATAGTCACTGCCGGTATTTCAGTAAAAAGGAATGAAGCAAAATTGAATGCAGAATCAGAACCAGCAATTGTCAGATATAGAAACATTAGGGTGCAGAACTCTGCCTATCACAGAAACTGAAATGCTAAATGGTCTCCAGACTTTTGGGGACAACTATGTGACTCCTTTGAGCCTTACACGATGCAAGGGTTGGAGTGACTTGATGTAGCCATCAAAACCAGTGCAGGTGAACAAAATCTAGTAGAAGCCATTAAGCATGACAACACAGTCACAGATATGAAAACAGATTTGTTTTAATGGAGGACTATTACAAAAAAATCTCAGTTCTCCTCAGAAGGAGTTCCAATAGTCTCTCGTATTGTTAGACTTTGATAATCTAGAGGGTTTTGTGACTTGAAAATGCTCAAGAAGTAACACTTAAACAGAGAAACACTGTAAGATTCCTGATAAGAACAAGCCAGTAAATCAGAGCAGCGGAAGTTGAATATTGATGATGACAGATTCACAAGGAGGAAAACAAATTTTCAAAAGAGGAAAAAGAAAAGGATCAGTTTCAGCATGACAGCAATAAATTTTTTATTGCTTGAGCCATCCTGCAAAACTGTGAAAGAGCTTGATCAAAGCTGCAAATTTAGCTAATTCACAGGTGACTACAGTTCAGATAAGTTTTTGAATAACAAGATGACTTTGAAAAACTGCTTAATTTTTATCAAACTAAGAGTCAGATTCTGAGACAGAACATTTACATTTGCCATGACCAGAAATTCCCAGATTCTTGGCTTCTAATATAGAAAGTCTAAGTGTAAAATGAAATGGAAGGAACCTGAAAAAAGCCAGTCCCTTAATAACTGCAGTAAGATATTCTCCTGCCACAACTCTAATCATAAAGCTGGAAGCCTAAACTTTAACCTTTTGTAAGGACATAAATTCTCTTTGCTCAGAGTATGAGAGGAAAACAAGAAACAACATTTTCAGTGCTCTTGAATATAGTTCAGATCTATGTAAATAAAACTTCAGCTGTTTAGTCCAAGTGAGGAGACTAGGAAAATTAACTTTATCAAGAAAAGTAAGAATACTGAACAATTTTTATCATGGCTTCTTTTAACATTCCATTTGGTCTGAGCATCTCAGAGAAACTTCGACATTTTAAAGATGAAAGAATCATTTTAGACAGAAGCACCACTTACCCACAATAACAAATCCATCTGCTTCTCTCTCTGGTACTGTAACCTTCTTTGATTCTTGACTTTTTCGGAAGAAGCTGAACATAGTCTCTTGTGTTTTTTTTTTCTTCTATCTAAGATGCTACCTAAATGAAGATAAAATACGTTAAATTAATATAACAGAATTAATCATAAGAAGTTCATAGCATTCCAAAGGCCACATACCTGATATTACAGCTTAATCTTTATTATCGGATTTGAAATATCAGGCATTTGTATGTCAGACAGATCACCTTGTTGATGTAGCAATTTACCAATAGGTAAGAAGAGAGTGAAGTACAAAAGGCTTTTCTATAAAATTATGAGTGGAATGGAATCATTAAAAAACCCCACAACTTCGACCTTACTAAAGGAAAATGGAAGAAGGAAACCCCCTTCAGCATTCATCCAGCATGTTTCCATATTTTCCTTCCATTTTTAATTGTTGTTACACAAACTGTCTCATCAGAGATAGTTCTAAAGCATCTGAAATTTTAAGCCCAAAACATGGTATTATAGAAAATGCAACTTCATAATGCAGGAATACTTGAATGAAGCAAATTGCACTAGATATTTTCAGTCTGTGCATCAATTAAAAAGAGCAACCACCCACCCCTACAATATTAGCATAGTAACTACTTTCATTTTCCCCAATTGCAATCTTAAAGACAGCCTAACAGTTGTGTATATTAGATTAACAGTTACCACTGATTCCCTAAAAAGAAATTGCAACAAAATAATTTTTTGCTAATTTTTTTCAACACTAATTCATTAAAAGAATCCTCCAAAGCATCTAAGAACTCCATTGCTAGAACAAAACAAGGAACACATTGGGATAAGAACACAGACTGCAAAAGAAAATTCTCAGTATATCCTCTCTCTCAAGCCCAGAAGACTACATAGAAGTAATTCTGAGTAGCTTAAAAGAGACAAATTAATATTAAAAATCCATGAAGGTTGCATGGAGGTGAGCTTGACTCCAGCCCCCGAGGGCTGAACTCGAACCCCTGGGCAATGTCAACTATGGAGCAGCCTGTGGTCTGGCTGAAACGCATTATGTGCTGGACACAAACAGGGAGGTTTAAATAAAGGCATGTGAAGATCTTCGCTACTAATATACCCATATAAAATGGGGAAAAGTGGAATAATGTCGTTTCAGCTTTCAAGTAGACTTTGAGGAGCAGAATCCTGATTTATTTTGCAGACATCAACATGCTAAGGAGAAGGTACTGACAAACCAATAGCAACATCTAATATACACCTCCAACAGTGGGAAGGAGTCCAAGGAAAAGAATTAAAGAGGTATACAATGTCAAGTTTCAGTAACATAATTTCACACTAGATGTAACAAAGAAGAATCTTTAGAAGGTGGGAAAGAGAGAAGAGTGCTACTGTGAAGTGTGTGGATGTTTAAAAAAGTAAATAAAAGAAAGAATGATAAAAATCCTGGATTAATTATTTGCTTGAATTCTTCACTCCCTACCCAAATATTCACGGCACCATAAATAAGACTTTTTTTGCCCTAGCCAGTGACCTGTAGCAATTAACTGCACAATCAGCACTGACTATTCATATAACTTCAAACTCTGCTGTTACAATCAATGGCAAATACTTCCATACTCCATAAAGTCCTATATGAAGTGTAAGCACTGGCTTCCAGGAGCAGTGTATAAATAGATCATGGTAAAAGCAGCAACAATTCAAACTGTGGCCTGATACCTGAGACTTGTAGGCTGAATACCCTGCAGCCTGGCCAGCAACTGCTTGCTTATGCTGACACAGTGCAGTGTCTGGCAACCAAATGAACTACACTGATGTACACAAGAACAGAACAAACCATTCTGTGATCCAATCCCAGGTATAGAGTAATTTAAAAAAAAAAAAAAGTTACTTATCTTCACTTCATTCCCTTTTGCTTGTTTTCCTACCTTAGCAAGTGAAATACTGATATTTCCAGTTCCATGGAGATTACAGAGTAGAAACTCCTAATTATCTCATTTATTCCTTACCTTCCCCCACACCCAGGCTCAACACATGGCGCCAGCAGCATATTCCTTTTTCAGCCCTCAGGGAATAAGTCTTCTCCTGCTACCAATTAGGGTTGTCAGTCCCATAGCTCAAGTGGTAAAAACCTGTGCTGTAATGCTCAAGAGTCAGGTTTCTGCTCCAATGATGTATGAAGGAGAGGCAGTTGCGGAACAGTTTAAAATGCAATTTTACCTTCATTCTAAGTATTCAACAACAAGAAGTAAAATCAACTAGATGTGTAAAATCTTACAGATAGCTTTGGTAATGGCTCACATTCCAGCGAGCCACTTCAGGTGCCAGAGCTGCAGTTGCTCCAATCACCTTTTTTTTCTCTTTTGAGATCTGGATTAGTGTACAGTGTTCAGCTCTGCCACATAATGTTCCCCTTCCCTTCTTTCTTGCACAAAGAAAAGCATCTTAATCAGTATATACATGGCACAAAAGACTTGCATAGGGAACCGTGCACTTGCAGTCTTTTAAATCCTGCATACTTAACATACCCAAACTTCACTGCTCAAAAGACAATACCCATTTAAATTCTCAGTAAATTAGCAATCAGAACAATTTGATCTAACCAAATCAATGTTACAAGCACTTTCACATACTAGATTTTATCCTTTCATTTACAGGAGACAGCCTGAGTATCCCAATTTTTTCTGAACCCCATAAAATTCACCTTATACATGAGTGTTGATCTTTACTTTGTAATTTTCAGTTTCTGAAGTAGCTTTAACTTTATTCCACTGCCATCAGTATTTCTCTAACAGAAAACAAAACAAAACAAAAACCCAAAACCCACACATACTTTTGCCTGAAGCAGAAAACCAAACAAAGCTAACAAAAGTACTCCCTAAGCTCAGGCCTCAAGTCCTTACGCTGTTAAAACCACTGGCCCAGCACTAAGAAAATGGTACACGTTGTATTTTGTGATTGTGAATGTGGGGAGGAGGTACCGAATCCCCATATTAAAAAGACTAACGTGAAGCTGTTTCTTTCTCGAGGTGTTCACCTTTTAAAAACAAAAGTTGTGCTTGTAGATCTCAGGTCTGTGGAGGAAAGAGCTCACCAACTACCACTTCCAGCATTTCAGCAAATTTGCTGAACACAATATTAAGTGCTACAAATAAACTAAATAACAAAGAATTACTAACAAAATAGAAGGGGGGCCCAGAAACAAAAATTAGAGCTGCATACGGTACAGTGTAGGTAAAGGAAAAGCAATGGACAAGCAATGCTGAAACATTTGCCATATTTGCTCTTTTAAGAATTTTATCAATTGTGGTACTTCAGAAGTAAACATAAATCTCTCCAGCAACAGGAAATGCAACCACTAAATTTCTTGAATTACATGTTAAAACAGAACAAAGCCCCTGTCCAACAAAGAAACACAGAGCCGAATGGAAACACTCGTGCTCTTGAAGATAAGAACACAGTTTAAGCACTTGCAGAATCAGGTTGGAGTTTTACTACTTGTAGATAAGATGAGATTTCAGGTAATGAAAGCTCAAAACAACCAGTTTCCATACAAGTTTCATTTCAGAGTAAAAATTAAATTTGAAGTCTGGGGACCTGGATGCATGGTCACACAGACTTGAGGGAAAAAAAGCACTTAGTTGTGGGGTGTTTTTAAAAGCTGTCAGCACAAAATCACAGAAAATACACCCACCATTCAGAGATAGTACTACATTCCTGTAGTCATTTCTCCTATATAGCATAGCACTTTTCCCTTCCAGATGGGATTAATCTTATTTCTGTAGGAGACCTGAAATTGAATTCACCGCCTAAAGATAAAAATCTCCCTTGGTAGGAATATATTATTCCCTTCTACTCATGTTTCCCCCTCACAAAAAAAAAAAAAAAAAAAAAAGAAAAGTGAACACAATCACTGATAGTTAAGAATAACACTTTTGGAACGCTTCAGTCATTAGCAAGTAATAAGCTGTGAACTATCGCAATTCTGTGAGGCTGCAAAAAATATTTTGTCTTTCTGTGAGGCTCTGAGAACATACGTGGCACTGGACAAAGATGAGTTACAGACCTGCACAAAGGGGTTAATTTATTCCTCCTGCATTTTGTCAGTCTCCTTTGACAAGAACCATGGGTGACCTTTGAGCCAAACCAATACATTAAATCCAATAAAATTTTTCAATACAATGGAGATCCTAGTATATTTAACATTACTTTTCAGCCTTTCCTGAATTTTCACAATACTGGAGGAGAATCGTAATTTAATATTAAAAACACCAAAGATGCAGACTAAGATAAAGAGAGGATGCCCAGGACTACAGCAAAGCAGAACTGCAGTGGCACTGTCACTAATTACATAAATGATGAAATGAGGACAGAACAAGATACAAAACTGACCTTAAAGAAAGAACCAGAATAATTTCACATCTAGCAGCTTAAGCTATATAATCTATGGAAGAAGAAAACAGAGCATCAGAGCAATTCTCACTTCCATACTACCATCTGCTGTGATTCACCAATAAAGCAGCAATCGGAAAAAGAGCAAGATGTTTACAACCCTGTACAGTTCTGCTTAGCATGAAAACAACCAACTTAAGAGTCAAGAACATGCATGTTGAAAAGATTTCTTTTTTTTTTGACACCAAAAGAACAGTTTAAAAGCTTTTGGTCTAATGTAAATTACTATGTGAAGAATAAGAAAAAAAGGCAGATAATTTCTTTTCTCTGGCATTAACATTAGTCATAATCCTTTAATTTGTATTTCTTGAAAACAGAAGAATGGAAACACAAATACAAAAAATGGATATACATGTAACAAAACATTAACAATTTTTTTGTACTACATAAAATGTTAATATTTATTTTTAACGTTTTTAAAAAATATAAGGAAAGCAGAAATACTAAGAACTATGCAATCCAAATTACCATAGTATAAAACACTTGAAGAGGCTGAATCATAAAAAATCAGCCACAATCAAGTCACACAATAAAAGCATAGGTGACAAAGGCAAAGCCAGGACTATTAGGTATTAGGTACATCAGTATTAAGACTAATACAAACATTCAAACCCCTCATAGAAAATGCTTAAAGAGAAAGCTAGGTGTTTATTCGACACAATACTCAGTAGGTTGAAACCTAATTCTTTCCCTGCAAACAGTTCTCTTTCGAGAAACTCCAACAACTACTAAATATGATGCAAATTAGTAAGATCTTGTACAGTATTTTTCTAGCAGCTGACCCTTCAAATCCTTCAGCCCTAGAAGAGCCACTGTGCAGCAGTCTGCTGCATCTTGCTCCAACAGCTACATTTATGAGACCTCTCCTCTCAAGTCTCTGAAGATATGCTAAGGAGTTGAGGATATTCTCTTGCAAGGAAAACACTGAAAAGGTGAACAGCATAGTGACACTGAGGAGATGACAACCAGCTAAATCTCATCAAACTCTGAGCACTCCCCAGTCACATGCTGGTTCTGCACAGCTTCTGGCAGTAACTTGTTTCCCTGGCAAGCTGACCCAAGCTACTGCCATATAACAACACTAACCCAGCCAAATAACAAAACCCACTTTGCACTGGTTAGCAATATGAACTGACCTGTGGCTGGTTAGAAGAGACAGTTGGCACATGAGCAGTGCTGTGACCGCTCTTTGAAGCCAGAGCAGAGTTATTTTCCTAAGTATTTCCTGAAACACCAGTCCTGGAAATGGAAAGAAAATCACAGAACCATAGAATGGCTGGAGTTGGAAGGGACCTCCAGAAGCCACCTTGTCCAACCCTCTGCTACAGTAGAGCCCTCTTAGGGCTGATTGCTCAAGATCATGTCCAGATGGCTTTTGACTATCTCCAAGGATGGAAAGCCCACAACCTCTCTGGGCAACCTGTACCCTTGCTTAGTCACTCTGACAGCGACAAAAGCGTTCCCTGATGTTCAGGTGGAACCTCCTGTGTTTCAATTTGTGCCCATTGCCTCTGGGCCTGTCACTGGGCATGACTGAAAAGAGCTTGGCTCCATCCTCTTTGCACCCTCCTTTAGGTATTTATAGTCATTAATAGGAACTCCCTGAGCCTTCTCTTCTCTAGGCTAAACAGTCCCAGCTCTCTCAGCCTTTCCTCATATGTAAGGTGCTCCAGTCCCTTAATCACCGCTGTGACCCTTCTTTGGCCTCGCTCCAGTATGTCCACATGCCCTCTTGTATCCAGCACTCCAGGCATGGCTCCACTAGTGCTGAGTAGAGGGAAAGCAGCAGCTCTCTCTGCCTGCTGGCAACACTACATCAGATGCAGACCAGGATATCATAGTCACCTTTGCCCCAAGACCAATTGGAAGGAACCTCTCCAGACAAGGGACAGACAGGGAAAACATATGTAAAAAGGCAAGATGTGTGGCAAGTGCCACATCCAGATGCCAGCTCTGTCTTACATCAATTGCTCTAACCCTGGGGATTGAGCATAAGCTCTTTAATGGTGAAACAAAATGAAATGAACAGAACAGAATAGCTCAGTTGGAAGGGACCTACAATGATCATCTGGTCCAACTGCCTGACCAGATCAGGGAGGATGAAAAGCTAATGCATGTTATTAAGGGCATTGTCCAAATGCCTCTTAAGCACTGATAGGCTCAGGGCATTGACCACCTCTCCAGGAAGCCTGTTCCAGTGTTTGACCACCCTCTTGGTAAAGCAATGCTTCCTAATGTCCTGTCTAAACCTCTCCTGGTGCAGCTTTGAATCATTCCCACATATCCATAGCTCTGAGCAATCTGGTCTAGTGGAAGGTGTCCCTGCCCACAGCAGGGCGATTGGAACTAGATGATCTTTAAAGTCCCTTCCAATCCAAACCATTCTGTGATCCTGAGGCAGCTACTGAGATAGCTACTGGACATCAGGGAGATGAGATGAGCATCCCTCTCTCCACATCCCTTCCGGAGGAAGCAGTAGACAGCAACAAGAGCAATCAGCCTTCTTTTCTCCAAACTATAGAAACCCAAACTCTTTAGCTGTTCCTCACAGGACATTCCTTTCCCCAGCTTCGACTCCCTCCTCTGGTTGCAGCTGCAGTGCCCACAACTACACAACACCCCAACTGAGGCCACCCCAACTCTGAATACAGCGGGACAGTCACATCTGTTTGTGCCTGATGGACCCGAGGATGCCTTTCGCCCTCTTGGCTACGAGTCCACGGTGCTGACTTACACCAGAGGGGAGCCAGCATCTAGAGGGAGAGGGAAAACGGCGGGAGGGGCAATATGGGCTGATTTACAAGGATTAAATGCCAGGACAGGGGTAGAAGCGGACGGCCGCGTTCTCTGGCTCCCCGGGGCTCGGCCCCTCCGCCCTCCCGTCGCGGCAGCACCGACAGCACCGACACCGGCCCGGCCACCCCCGCCCGCCGCCGCCGCTCACCGACCTCCGCCTCCGCTTCCGGGTCGCCCCGGGCAGGGGAAGTCCCGCCCCGTTCCCGGTGCCCGGTCCCTCCCTCGGCGGAAGGCGGGAAGCGGCGC